AAGTGAATTTCTAATGAGTAGTGCAACACCACCCTTACCTACAAAGTGTGAGCTACATGCCAGTCTTGGATTTACATAGCTGTCTGTTTCTACCTTGACAATGCTTTTATAATCTTTATGTATAGAATCTAAATACCTAAACGAGGTAGAGTTATCTTTTAACTTATGTTCTGAAATTACTGCAAAGTCACACTTTGTATGGTCAAGCATGTTTGAAAGACACAGTGTAGAGGACATAACTCCCCTAACATTCCATGACAAAATAACTACCATGGTAAAATAAAATACTAAATACAGAAAATAGATTATATGTCTATTCATAATAGTGAGCGTGTCTTTGAGATAATACATTAGTCTATTTTCGGCGATCATTCGCATCATTGTCATATTCCGACCACCATTCTCGGTTGCGCGAGTACTGTCCCTTGTTGTCTACATCATGATCCTGACCTGAACATCGCACCTCCCAGTCTCTAGAGGTATGTCCAGTGCACGATGTTTTTTCGATATTGTCGACATCGCTGTAAAAATACCAGTCCTCCTAATATTATGACATATTCAAAATTTCAATAATTCCTTTGTTTATCTCTCTCTTATATTACATTGTTTAACAATACAAAGTCAACATCTTGTTAACATATCCTATCCCCTTTCTGTTGTTTACATCGTTCACATCGTCGACATCGCAATGTTCGTCGACATCGAGTCGACATCGTGTCAACATTGCCTTTATTTTTCTTGTTTACATCGTTCACATCGTCGACATCGCAATGTTGGTCGATATCGAGTCGACATTGTGTCAACATTGCCCTTCTTATTTTTGTTGTTTACATCGTTCACATCGTCGACATCGCAATGTTGGTCGACATCGAGTAGACATCGTGTCAACATTGCCCTTTTTCTTGTTTACATCGTTCACATCGTCGACATTGCAATGTTGGTCGACATCGAGTCGACATGGTGTCAACATTGCCCTTCTTATTTTTGTTGTTTACATCGTTCACATCGTCGACATTGCAATGTTGGTCGATATCGAGTCGATGTCGTGTCTACATTGCCCTTTTTATTTTTGTTGTTTACATCGTTCACATCGTCGACATTGCAATGTTGGTCGATATCGAGTCGACATTGTGTCAACATTGCCCTTCTTATTTTTGTTGTTTACATCGTTCACATCGTCGACATCGCAATGTTGGTCGATATCGAGTCGACATCGTGTCAACATTGCCCTTTTTCAAATCTTGTTTACATTGTTCACATCGTCGACATCGCTATGTTGGTCGGTAATTGAGTGTGAACATTGCATTCTTATTAATTTTTGTTTATATACTTTGTATTTGTGTTGGCCTATATCGAGTTGTCATCATGTCAACATTAAGTTTTCCTTTTTTGTCTTTTTATCTTGGTAAAATCATTGACAACGCATTTAATGCATAAAATCAAGTTGAGTTCATATTGATAAGGCAATATATTCTGTTAACTGTTTGCATATCATCACCAGGGCAATCTTTGACTCTTATGAGTCCACATCAAGTGTACATCAAGTATGAAGCATGTCTCTTACATTATGAAAATGAACTAAAAACTGATGTTCAACCTTGGAAACAGTGTTTGTCATCTGTAATGTAGATCCAAATTGTTTTAAAATTAATTATATTGCGTTGTCAATATACAATGTAGAAATAAAAGCAATGTAGACAATGTAAACGCGATATCGTATCACCATTGTTTACATTGCGATGTCGACGTCGACGATGTTGTCATGTAGAAATAATAACAATGTCGACGATGTAAACGCGATATCGTATCAACATTGTCAACATTGCGATGTCGACGTCGACGATGTCGTCAAGTAGAAATAATAACAATGTTGACGATGTAAACGCGATATCGTTTCGACATTGTTTACATTGCGATGTCGACGTTATCGTCATGTGGAAACAATTACAATGTAGACGATGTAAACACAATATCGCATCAACATTGTTAACATTGTGATGTCGACGTTGACGATGTTGTTATGTAGAAACAATAACAATTTAGACGATGTATTCACGATATCGTATCAACTTTGTTTACATTGCGATGTCGACAATATCGAATTGATTAAGGAAACTGGACATGAATGAGTCTCTATTGTTATACCATCTACGGCACGATACACCCTTCGGCCAGAAGTCATGGCCTTCAACAATACACGTTTGATCGTAAGGAATGTTGATCTTAGCGGTCAATTGTGAACGGGTCGTGCGTGGTTTGAATAAGATCATGTGTGTGATTTTCACACCTTTATTTTCAGTGTAGTTTAGAATCCCTTGGTGGGTAGATTCCCTATCAATTCCCGATAAATAGAATCTGGCTTTCCGTTTGTATTTCACGCCACGAAAAACATCAAGTGGGGGTGTTGTAGCGGATTGTTTAGGGAGATCAATGCTGTCATCTAATCTCACCGAGTGCATGCTAACATCCCCGTAATTGTGTAGCTGCTTGTTCGTCTGTTTCTTGTGTGATTTTGTGACATTCTGTTTAATTGACGACCGTGTATCAACTGTACTAGATAAGTCCCTCTGTTTGTCCATTGAACCGTTAATAGGTTTACTGGACAGTGTATCTATGCATGCAGTATTTGTGTCACACGAACCGTTACCTTTTGTGTTCTTCGAACACACTGGGGCACTCGGAGGGTTTCCAACGGGGGACGTCTGTAATTCTTTCTGTTTTGGATTAGCAGTACTGTCCTGTCTTGGGGAATTTTATGATCCAGATAATATGTACATGTATTTTATGGTAAGAAAATAATAAAAAGTCTATGATAATTTATTGTTATTATCTCATCTAGACTCCTAATCATTCATGATGTATGGAGCTTGCTCATTCCCTCAGAATGGCATGCTATTATTTTTATGATTTATTATTTATTAGTAAGAGGTATATTATGTCTATGAAGATATTATTACTTTGATAGTAATATATATTTTGTTGTAAAGTATTTTAATTGTATGCACAAAGTGTAAATTCTAAGGGAGTATTCATGTTGTATTATGTGTAATGAATGTAAAAGTTACCTCCCTTTATGCAGCATTGTGTACAATCCTGAATTGCGCATTGATGATTTTATGATATTCTAGAGATTGGTATTATTTATTTCAGGGCAATACCAATATCATAATAACTAGTACATGTATTAATTAACAGTGCAAATCCTGACAGGTGTTTTCATTATAACCATCAACCCTGCTACATATATAAGTAAAGTTGGTACATGTATACTTATAAAAAGTGAATTTCTTTGTGCTTTCTGAATGAATAATTCCTCACTTAGAGCAGTTATACTTGTTAGAGAGTTGTTCTAAATTGCTGTTATGAAATCCAGTTGTGTAAATTTATATGTAAACTCATATCCAGTCCTCCCGATCAGACTCCGGACATCTGCAGATTCTGTGGCAAAATCTTTCTAGATATATTCACGCACATCACCTGCTCTTGTTCCCTAACATCGAATCTACGTAACTGCTGGTGGGAAGACATTTCCAACAATTTTGATGTCCACCTCTCTGCAGAAATTTGTGCAATGACAGATGACGAGATATTTGTGCTTCTACTTGGACGTAATTCCGTTCACTTGCTATCTGAAGAAGATCTCCGACAGCTTAAAATGACCAACTTTCGTTACATACGTAATGTTGCCACGTGTTACAACCGAGCCCTTCAATTTCAGTAGCAAATTGCCAGCGGACAACATATATACACACACAATTAGTTTATAGTGGCCTTCAAATTACAAATTTGTGAATAGATCAATTTTATTTCCTTATTTAAATTGGATTTGTTTGTTTTTGACAACTCGTAATTTATTCACTTATTTTCCTATCTCTTTTTCCTTTTGTTAGTTTTCCCATTTATTTGCATACGTTGTCTTCATTGTATATATGTTAACTTTGTTTGGTATCTGTCCATGTTTATATATATATATATATTTATATTCATGTCTTCGCATAATCTCTTCGCATGATCCTCTAATGAGGGAAATAAAGTATGAATGAATGAATGAATGAAAGCCGAGCGGTCTAACGCGCTTTTCCTGTAGTTTTAGGAGACAGATTCCGTAGGAAGAGAGTTCACCCCCGGGCTGGGGCGGAAGTGGATATCCTTATTAAAAAAATGTGAATTTCTTTGTGCTTTATTTATTTTACAATTATGGACTCTTCTGGTGTTAAATATGGTTTGTTATTCACCCGAAAAGTATAAATATTGACAAAGGCAACACCAAAAGAGTCCATAATTGTTTTATTATATAGTCCGGAATTGAACGAATAAGACTTTGAAGGCTGCATGACGACGCAATTTTCATTTACGAAACTCCAGTCGTTGGAAATAAAAATATGTCCAATTTGTAACTTCTGTGTATTCCTTTCCGAGATCTGCTATGTGCAAGACGTCCAAATGGGTTTAAATAATCCTGCAAAAGGTTTGTCCGACACATTTTCTTGTTCAGATACATAGCTCGCTAACTGTGATCGATATGTAAGATCTTTGGACAATACAACTATGTGAATAGGAAATTAACACGAAACCCTGGACATTCATGCTGGGATCAGATGCCAAGGAGGATACTTACGAATGCTTACTTTCAACAAGTTTATTGAAATTCCTGTAACATTAACTTATATGTGAATAGCTTGCCTGAATTAAAAGACAGAGAAAGGTGGAAGAAAGTCATCATGAGCTAAACGGTAATTGAGCCCGAGCGATTGATGGAATGCATATTCCTATCATAGCTTCGGAGCAATCCAAAAGAGAGAATTTGAATACTGTATACAGGTTTATTTTCACCATTGCAAATAGATTTGCCCCGTTTTAAATTAAATTCGCCCGGTCACGATTAGCTCACTTCTCAACAATATGTAGAGAAGAGCTAAATTAGAAATTTTTTTTTTGACGAAGTTTTGTGTGAAACCTCCTAAATATATAATGACTTTTAGGTTCTGAAATGTACTTACCTAGGGTTTTTGAAGCTTGTTGACTGCATTTTCAAGTCAATTTTTCCAACACCCTACGTGGTAAAAATAAATGATTATTTATAAATGTTTTAAAATATAAAAAAAATATATCGCTCCCATGCATATGATTGCTATAAATTAAAATTTCAATCATTAAATTCATGTCATTTCTTAGACTTTGAGTGACCAATTTTTAAAAGAAAGTACTAATATTTTTTTAAATTATTAATTTATTCAAAAGAGATACTGAAGTACATAATTCACTTACATTTTTCATCTTAGGATAAGGAACGCCACGTCTCCTCCAAAATCGCAACTTGCATTTTGAAAACCTTTCATCAAGGAGGAAATATTATGAGAACGACATTTGCTGCTGATCATTTATTTTGTATTAAATTTGCACACTTTAAAACTTGCTAACATTTGGAATTTTAAATGTATTTTGATGTATATGTTAAGTTTTTTTTCATCATGAGTCTATAAACCATAAATTGCATACAATCCTATCATTTAAACATACATTCAAAGAAGATTTTTCTTGAATTTCCTTCTCATATTAAATGTAATTTTATAGTTAATTTTGAACGTCAACTTTTTTTCATATGAAAGGTTAATTTAAACATTTAAAGTTAAAATATGAAAATAGATATGTGGTTTCTTAATAGACAATATTTTAACATAAAAAATGAAATATTCCAAACTTTTCTATCAAAATTGAATTAAAATTATATTTATGCTACAAGAAGTATACCGTACACATTAAGACATGAAACTTGATATGCACGAGTAGGTTTTTTTAAAAAAGGAAGAAAAAAAGAAAAGAAAAGGCTCCACAAATGTTGTATTTTTCTTTGAATTAATAATTCCTAGATACGATCAATGATATGGGAATGAAAACTTACACGTATAAAGACAATAAAATCAGCAGTAAAGTCAGGAGAAAGTCTGGCACATCAATAAATCCTAGGACCTCCATCTTCAGTAAGCTGTTAAGATTACTGCATGGAATGTACGAGGGACTGACTCTGTCATAATAAAGTTTTAAGTTTGCTTTGATGTGTGCGTGAGTGTGTGAGAGAGGAAGTGTGTGAGGGCTAGGGTGTGTTAGAGAGAAAGAGAGAAAAGGTGTGTGTGTGTGTGTGTGTGTGAGTGTGTGTGTGAGGGTGTGTGTGTGTGTGAGGGCGAGGGTGTGTGTGTGTGTGTGTGAGGGTGTGTGTGTGTATGTGAGAGGGTGTGTGTGTGTGTGTAAGGGGACACGCCTTTGATGATAAGTACATTAAAATTATCAAACACTGAAACAAGATTTTGATTAAAAAAAAAAAAAAAAAAAAAAATCCTTCTCAAAGAACTATTTCTCCCTTAATATCTCTGTCAATGTTCATTTTTTTACATTAATAAGGCCGTGGCTTATACAGGTGCATTATTTAATTTTTTCCGAAAACAACCAATGTTCAATTTAGACAGGCTACTCACAGATTAAAGTGAGCATTTCAAAAATTTTATGTTCACTATAATTATTTCATCAGAAAAATTTAGCTTTCACTTTTTGGGACGTATTTTGGCTGACTTATTTCATTTCAATTGATGGATCTTCGTTTTAAATTAAAAATGTCGGACTATAGAGTATTTCCCGTCTACTTGAATCAATACACTGGGCTTACGGAGGTAGTTAGACCTACTCAAGACTATGCTTTTATATTTTATTATTTTTTTTTTACATTCTTTGTTTATATTTGTATTGCTTTCCTCTGATCTCTCTCATAGTTAAATGTAGCTGCAATAATGTAGCCCTCTCCGTTTTTTTTTTATGGTAGAGGGCTACAACTCCTTAGGATTTCCGTAAAAGTGCAATGCGGCAGTGAATCACTCCCGCATGGATTTCGATTCAAATTATCAGCGGCTATTTTATTAACATATCTTATCTGGATTCCAAAAATGTAATTATGCAAGACATAAATCGATTCAAAAATATTCACAACAATCCATATAGCGGTTATTTTTCGTGTATAGCAACATCACTACTTAAATATATCCGCCATGATTACTGACCTTAATGGATTTAATTTTGGGACAGCCAATGAAAATTTAGAATCTATAGGAGCGGATCTTTTAGGAATACCCTTATTTTAAGCATACATATCGCTGTTTTCGTAAAAATAAAAATACTTGAAATGGTTTTATTTATCGATGTTTTTCTGATACATGTACATTGCAGCACAGTCGTTTATAAACTTCGACATTTGCTTTAATATTTAGTTGTTCTAAATATCAAGCAGAGTCTCATGCCCTGTTCACACGGAGAGTTTAATTCGAATTAAACGTAAAGTTACTGCGAATTAGCTTCGCTCAGCGTTCACAAGGAGAATTTAATGCTAATTAGTTTAAGTTTCAATGTACTGCGCATTAAATTACTTCCAATTAACTCCGAATGAAAGCTAAGCAAAGCTAATTCGAATTTTAATTTTATGCATGCGTAAGGCCAGAATTTAGATTCACAAGACACATGTTGGTGGTTATATATAGGTATTTGTGCTATATTTGGTTCAAAAATTGAGGGAAAGAATGTTAATCACTAAAATCATTGAATACATGTCGCCACTACATGATGTATCAAAGGATGGCTCTGCATACATGACGTGATTTACAAATGACGTCATAATAGACTTACTGACGCCTGACTGTAAAAGAAAAATTTTAATTCGCATTAGTTTACTTCGCATTACCTGTCGTGTGAACGCAATTTAATTCGCATTAATTTGATTCGCATTAGTTTACTTCGCATTAATTTACTGCGAATTAAACTCGTCGTGTGAACAGGGCATCAGTACGTCACTCGTGAAATGTCATATCCCTGGATTTATGATATGGGTACAATACCTATGTACCTATTAAAGCCATATTTGTCGGTTTATAAAGGTTCTTCTCACAAACAAGTATCTTCAAAATCCTTATATAATTCTCACGTGTGCTTGTGGACAGGAACCCCCCCCCCCCCTCCTAAACATTCCAGACCCAAAACTATTATTTTAATTTCATTGTATAAGCTCAAAGGCTTCACGAGATATTGATTGAAACCAAAGTGTAATAGACGGACAGGATTACAAAAAGAAGGATGGGCAGACCGAATTTATATCCCCAACTTTCAGGGGGGGGGGGGCAAAATTGTGAATTGTGTTTTCGACATAATTTAAGATATATTAGAGCAAGTTCCATGGACGGGCAGACCGAAATTAAGATCCCCAACTTTCAGGGGGGTCGGGCAAAAATTGGGAAATTGTGTTTTTGACATAATTCAAGATATATTAGAGCAACCATATTAGGATGCCATCAAAGGACCTATCCCCCCTCCCGCAACCCCCTAGAATATATATAAATCCGGGTCCAAATATATTTTTGGGGCTTTCTTTCATTAATAACATTTACAATTTATAACATACAAAATTCATTTGCTGCTGCAATAGTGTCTGTATAGCCACGCTCCGTGTCTGTATAGCCCCCTATGAATAAGGGTGGTGGGTCAATTACAAGGGGGAGCGGCATCAATTATGTGTCCAATTTAGACCCCCAAAAAATGAAGGGGAGAAAAATGAAATTTTTAGGAAGGTAGATAAAAGGGGGGAGGAGCATCTACGATGTGTTGGTATAGCTCCCCCTCCTAGAAGAAAAATGATAAATTTAACCTTAATGAATATGGAATGAAGGAAAAAGTGTCATGTGTATATAGCCCCCCCCCCCCAAAAAAAAAAAAAAAAAATTAAGACAGATATGATAGAAAGGGAGAAGGGTAAAAGAGGTGTGGTTTAGATTTATATGAATAGTATATAAACAGCGCAAGCCAAAGAATGGGAAATGGAAAACACACACCATGGATACTAGTACTGGTATTTTAGAATTGGCTTCATTTGTTCCAGAGAAGAGACCTCTTGATCAAGATGAGGAGGAAAAAAAGAACATAAAGATACTTAAGGTAGGATTCTTCTCTGGTTTCTGACTAGATGAAACATTCAGAGTATATTTGCTTATATGTCTTATATATTTAGGTGTAAGGGATTTAAAAGACCACATTTTTCTTTCCTCATCACAAATGTACAACTTTAAATAGAAATGGTAAACTGCGTTTGAAAACTAGCAGGGACTATATTTTTGGCGGAATGGTGGCGTATGAAAATATCTTCTTTTCTGCCTCTCAAAATTATAATAGAACAATGAATTTAGTTATAATTTTTACACAATCGAAGACTTGGAGAAATTTTCAAATGTAAGTTAAATTAATAATGAGGGACTAAACTTTCAAAATATATCAAATAAATGTGATTTTTCATACAAACTAGAACTTTGATAGCTTTTAAACGCTTCCTATCAAAGTGCAGATTTGAGCCAAAAATCCATAAAAAGTATTTTTTTCTCTCTTAGTAAACGATCAAAACTTTTGTTTTTGTATCATTTTGTACATTTATAAGACTACTTTATTATATGTGAAAATAAGAAAAAGTTAAATATAGGAAGCATATGAAAATAACTAATATATCCTAAAAGATTAAGAAAAACAGAGAAAATTCGGATTAGCCGATATCCCGTTAAGTTGCATTATTTATGTAAATTTGGTAATATCATGCTATAGACCCGATATAGTAATATGTTTTAATGCAAAAAGAACAATCATAAAACTTTTGAAATAGAAGTAGGTTTCACATGATTGCTAACAGTTATTTTTTATTCTTAATGTCAAGGAAAAAGATAATGACCTTGACCTGACCTTGCCTCTAATATAAAACGGTCAAATTCAATTTCACTGATACTATCACTTACTGATATTGTCTTCTTGATTCTGTGAAAATTTCATTAATTTTTAAATATTAGAAATATGAGAAGAATCCTACCTTAAACCGTATAACGAAAATACGATTGTAGAGATGGACATCGGAGGTAACTGTCACGTGTCAGCCCAAAAATTTCTAAACGATTTTCAAGATGAAAATGTGTACATACACATTAGGTACTTCAACACAAGTCCCACAGAATAGTCAAAGAAGGGATTTCACTCCCGCTGGACAAATTCAAACAGTTGATTGAAGATCATATAAATGATGTAGATCAAGCGTTGCAAGAGGCAAAGAAAAACGGCTCAAATGTCTTTTACAAAAACACCTGGGTCAAAACATATATGTCGATAGAACAAGGATATACGTGGGAAGACATAAGAAAATGGTGGAAACCAGAAAATGCATTAGACATCATGCCAACCAGGAAGGGTATATCATTACCCGAGTCAAGGGGCGAATTCAAGAAAACAATCCCCGTACTGAAGAATATGTTCAAAAATAATTAGACAATATGAGATATTGTTATTTGGATCATGACAATCAAATGGCCATGTTACAGCGTAAGAGCTGTAATCCAAACGAATGGATGAAATATGAGTAACAGCCAAAAGTTACAAGACAGTTTAAAGAGTTTATATAAATAAAAACCGCAATGTATATGTTTTTAGAAGAAAAATGGAGATATGCATATATGTGTATGTAATAAAAAAATGTATTAGAGTTGACTGTTTTTTTATGTTTTGTTTTGGTTTTGTGTTTATAAAAGGCAAATATTTAATATATTAAATGGCATAAAAACGTATCTTATCAGTAAGAAAAGTGTTGTCCAAAGAGGAGGAACGTTATTTAAAGAAAATATGGACGAACACAAAACACCCAGCAGCATTTAGTGGTCCATATAAGTTATATCAAATTGTGAAACGTGAAGGGAAATTTAAAATTGGTTTACATAGAATCAAACAGTATTTATCCGACACCGATGCTTACTCGCTGCAAAAAACAGTACAGCGAAAATTTGTACGACGTCATATAATTACGGATTCTATAGATTCTATATGGGACGGAGATTTACAAAACGTAAAGAATATTTCCAAGTACAATGACGGAGTACAATACATTTTGGTTTTGCAAGACATTTTTTAAAGATTTCTATTTACAGCACCACTGAAACGGAAAACGGCAGCAGA